ATGTGTGTGTGTTCATGTGTGTGTGTCTATGTGTGTGTGTTTATGTGTTCATGTGTGTGTGTTCATGTGTGTGTGTTCATGTGTGTGTGCTCATGTGTGTGTGTTCATGTGTGTGTGTGTTCATGTGTGTGTGTGCTCATGTGTGTGTGTGCTCATGTGTGTGTGTTCATGTGTTTGTGTGTTCATGTGTGTGTGCTCATGTGTGTGTGCTCATGTGTTCATGTGTGTGTGTTCGTGTGTGTGTGCTCATGTGTGTGTGTTCATGTGTGTGTGTGCTCATGTGTGTGTATGTTCATGTGCTCATGTGTGTGTGTGTTCATGTGTGTGTGTGTTCATGTGTTCGTGTGTGTGCTCATGGGTGTGTGCTCATGTGTTCACGTGTATGTGTTCACGTGTGTGTGTTCATGTGTGTGTGTGTGTTCATGTGTGTGTGTTCGTGTGTGTGTGTTCATGTGTGTGTGTGCTCATGTGTTCATGTGTGTGTGTTCATGTGTGTGTGTTCGCGTGTGTGTGTTCATGTGTGTGTGTGTGTTCATGTGTGTGTGTTCGTGTGTGTGTGTTCATGTGTGTGTGTGCTCATGTGTTCATGTGTGTGTGTTCGTGTGTGTGTGTTCATGTGTGTGTGTGCTCATGTGTGTGTGTGCTCATGTGTGTGTATGTTCATGTGCTCATGTGTGTGTGTGTTCATGTGTGTGTGTGTTCATGTGTTTGTGTGTGTGCTCGTGTGTGTGTTCATGTGTGTGTGTGTTCATGTGTTTGTGTGTGTGCTCGTGTGTGTGTGTTCATGTGTGTGTGTGTTCATGTGTTCGTGTGTGTGCTCGTGTGTGTGTGTTCATGTCTGTGTGTGTTCATCTGTTCGTGTGTGTGCTTATGTGTGTGCTCATGTGTGTTTGTTGATGTGTGTGTGTGTTCATGTATGTGTGTTCATGTGCTCATGTGTGTGTGCTCATGTGTGTGTGTTCATGTGTTCATGTGTGTGTGCTCATGTGTTCATGTGTTCATGTGTGTGTGCTCATGTGTTCATGTGTTCATGTATGTGTGTTCATGTGTTCATGTGTGTGTGCTCATGTGTGTGTGTTCATGTGTTCATGTGTGTGTGCTCATGTGTGGGTGTTCATGTGTTCATGTGTGTGTGCTCATGTGTGTGTGTTCATGTGTTCATGTGTGTGTGTTCATGTGTTCATGTGTGTGTGTTCATGTGTGTGTGTTCATGTATTCATGTGTGTGTTCATGTGTGTATGTTCATGTATTCATGTGTGTGTGCTCATGTGTTCATGTGTGTGTGTTTGTGTGTGTGTGTTCATGTGTGTGTGTGTGCTCATGTGTGTGTGCTCATGTGTGTTTGTTGAAGTGTGTGTGTGTTCATGTGTGTGTGCTCATGTGTGTGTATTCATGTGTGTGTGTTCATGTGTTCATGTGTGTGTGTTCATGTGTGTGTGTGTTCATGTGTGTGTGTGTTCATGTGTTCGTGTGTGTGCTCATGTGTGTGTGCTCATGTGTGTTTGTTGAAGTGTGTGTGTGTTCATGTGTGTGTGCTCATGTGTGTGTGTGCTCATGTGTGTGTATTCATGTGTGTGTGTTCATGTGTTCATGTGTGTGTGTTCATGTGTTCATGTGTGTGTGCTCATGTGTGTTTGTTGAAGTGTGTGTGTGCTCATGTGTGTGTGTGCTCATGTGTGTGTATTCATGTGTGTGTGTTCATGTGTTCATGTGTGTGTGTTCATGTGTTCATGTGTGTGTGTCCAGTTCCTCTGGAGATGGGAGTTTTTCTGAGGGAACACCTGAACTACTGGTACAGTCTGAAGGCTTATTACCTGGCTAAAACCATGGCTGACGTCCCCTTCCAGGTAAATATTTCAAATAAATCCAGAACAGAGCAGTCGGCAGGAGGTCGTGTTTCTGGTGTTAAACGGGAAATTAACCGAGTTTGGAGTCAGCTGCGTGTTGCAATAAAAAGTTTAAAGTCGACCTTTTCTGCTGACTCCGATTTTAAACCGTCCAAACTAAACGTGGGCAAAGTTTCAGATCAAGAGGTGAACATATGTTGGAGTAATCCCAGGATGAGTCTGCAGAGGGCGCCATAGTTCCCCGATATGAAACCAAGAATTTCAACAGACGGCTTCAAGCCTCTCCGTAATCCTCTGAAACCTCTTACATAGACTCTCTTCTCCCAGACCTGGAGAGCAGCCCTCCCTCTGGCAGCCCTGCAGCGTTCTGTCCCCCTGAAGTATTCCATAGAGCTGACCAATCAGAAGAAAGTGGGGGGGCCTTAAAGAGACAGCAGCAAAGTATGAAATTAGGGTTTTTACTGACAGCAGTATCAGATAAATACGATCATGTAAAGCTGCTCTAAAGGTTTCAAAACATGGCTCAGGCGATCCCGTCTCTCCTCTGTAACGCCTCTGCAGACGGTACGGGGGAGGGGGGGCGCCTCCACGACATACAGAACAGGGATGTAAATGTCACTTCTTTTGTCTCTTATTTTATGTTTTTTATGCAAGAAAGGTTTTCAAAGAGGTCATTAAGGTTAATTCTTCCAATCAGCAAAACAGGGAAACTGCTCCATCTTTGAAGGCCAGACTTAACTTGAGACATTATGTGGGAGAAAAAGAGAGGTTCATGTTCTGGTTACATTGATCCATGGTTACTTTAAACCAGGGGGGCTCAGTTTGACAAGAACTTCAGACTGTTTGAGTTGTGATGCTGGAGAATCGATGGGATGCTGGTTGCTGCCACTCATAGAGTGAATGTGATCTGATACATAAAACACAAATCATCAGCATACAGTGATAACTTGTAGGGAAATCACTTCATCTTGTTCCCCTGGTTCTCACCCTCACAAAGATTCTACAGTTTAGAGATCGGTCTACTGACCATCACAGCCAGTAAAACTCCAGTTTGATTTACTGACCTTAAAGTGTCTGCTGTCCTACAGGTAGTGTTCCCCGTGGTGTACTGCAGTATCGTATACTGGATGACCGCTCAGCCTCCCGACGCCGGTCGCTTCTTCCTCTTCCTGTCTCTGGGGGTCCTGACCTCTCTGGTGGCTCAGAGTCTGGGTCTGCTGATCGGAGCTGCGTCCACCTCGCTGCAGGTCAGACCCTCTGAATTCAGGTTCTCAAAATGTTTGCTGCTTTAATACTTGAAGCACTCAGGTGTGTTTACCTGCAGACTGCACTCAGGTGTGTTTACCTGCAGACTGCACTCAGGTGTGTTTGACTCTACTGTTTCCTGCAGGTGGCAACGTTTGTGGGTCCGGTAACAGCGATCCCGGTTCTCCTGTTCTCTGGGTTCTTCGTCAGTTTCGACACCATACCCTGGTACCTGCAGTGGATGTCCTACATCTCCTACGTCAGGTGGGGGCGCTGTTTGTTACTGAGCACTGATCTCCAGTTTAACCTGATACTGCTGTCATGCTACTTTACACACACCACACAACTTCCATGTTATAGACATAAACAAACCGCTCCTACGAGATGCTCTGTGTTCACTGTGCTTGTTTACATCCAGGTGGTAGAGCCCCACCTACTGGCAGGTGGCTGTGTTACGACTGACATCACAGATTATGGGAGTTACTCATTCTTCTTTAGCGGTTTATTTTGTGTTGTTGTGTTTGTTGAAATCTACAGTTTAAATGCTTTATATGTGATTTTTCACACTTAAATGTAGAAATCAAGTATCTCCTCTGAAAATAACTCTGTGAGTCATGACTGTCTACAATGGGTGTAACACCCGAGTCCCACTGTCTGTGATGTTTTCAGAGTTTTCAGAGTCCTATCTTCAGTTTGTTTACATCGCCCGGACGGCCGGCTGACTCCTCCCCTCGTGTATAAAAGTTGTTTAATTGAGGGACTAGAGAAAAGAAGAATAACATACTGTACTCACTGCTTAACTGTGTTTCTAGATCACGCTCATTTCAGGTAAATTTACATGCAGTGTGAAGATACCAGCATAATAAAGATCACTAGCATTAGCATGCTAACACAACAATGCAGAGCGAGTTGTTTTGGTTTTAGTGCTGGTGCTCAAGGGTGACATCTGCTGGATCAAAAAATCACATATAAAGCCTTTAAGACACAAAGACATCTGAAAGAGACAAACTAGCGGCTTGACTCAGCAGCACGCTCAAACTCCTGAGTCCTGGGAGATGAACTTCCTGTTCTCTGAATGTGGTGTGTTTGTGGAGAGAGATGTAACAGCTGCTTGTGGTCATTCATCTTCCTCTAAATTCTCTCTGTAGGGATCCTTTCTTTCATAATGTCACACTCTGTCATACCCTCCTGATCCGACCTCCTGTGCCGTGTTTCAGGTACGGCTTTGAGGGCGTCATCCTGTCCATCTACGGCCTGGACCGGGAGGATCTGCACTGTGACGAAGACGACACCTGTCACTTCCAGAAGTCTGAGGCCATCTTGAAGGAGCTGGACATGCTGGACGCCAAACTTTACCTGGACTTCATCATCCTCGCCATCTTCTTCTTCTCTCTGAGGCTCATGGCGTACTTTGTGCTGCGCTACAAGATCAACGCTGAGAGGTAGACCAGGAGGAGGTCCAGCATTTAGACCAGGACAAACCGTTAGGCCAAAGTTAGCCTGTAGCTGTGGAGTTTGTCTACATGTGGACTGTGAATCGACTCTGGGCTGGCTGATAAAAACCGACACCAGGAAGAGACGAGACCAGGTTTGGACGAATGTTTAATGTCTCTGAGTGTCTTTAGAGGGGGTGAGGACACGTCCTGCAGGGACAGGAGCTGGTCTCTTGACTCCTGAAGGCTTAACTGTGCCACAGCCTGAAGGACCCCGACAACACGACACAAACAGCGCAACAAAACTGGAGAACAGAGTTTCCTTCAGAATAAAAGCCTCTGAGATTCAGTTTGTTTAAAAGTCTCAGGATGGAGACGACTTGTATGTTAAATTAGTAAATCTGTGAGCTGAGAACGCTGTGGACTCACAGACAGCGTGTAACTAAGACTGTTAACAATAAAGTAAAGACCAGAGAGTTTCCTGATGTTCAACTTTATTGACTCTTCTTTTCATTTATCTACATGGTTCACACATGGGGACACAAAGAGAAGACAGACCGATGTGTGGGTACTCAGAGCTGACACACTGACTCAGTCTCACTTCTTAAAAGTAAAATATTATCCTGGATTAAACTTGTTTTATCTCATAAGCATCTTAAAGCCTATTCTCACAGAATCAGCATAACGTCTGTGTTCTGTGTGAATCGAGCGTAAAGTCAAGATCGCACCGGATTTGAGCGAGCACAGAGCTCCTCTGATGTGATCCAGTCTGAATCAGCCCACTAAGGCTTCAAGCCTAAACCATCAAATGATTGTCAGAAACGTCTCTTCCTTTAAATCTGGAGCCATTCTCAAACCTCCTTTAAAAAGAATAATGAACTGACTAACACGCTGCATGTATGACAGCTTTTTGACCTCCAGATCTGCACACACTAAGCTGCCTCCTCCTCTCCTCTGGAGTCATCCCCCAGTCAGGGTCCGGGAGGCAGACACACTCTGTACTTATTAGAATACACTTAAAACTTTCATTTTTCATTAAGCTTATAGGTAGGGCTGGTGCAGGTATCATTATGTTACATTATTCCCGCGTCTGAGGCAGAAAGCAGATGACATAATACGACCTGAGCAAGAGCTGAATCTGCACGCTCTCTGGAGAATTAACATAAAGAAATCTGTGAAACTGAAACCGGGCGCTGAAAGAGGCTGAACAGAACACAGAATTGATGCAGAGTGAAAACTTTTAACAAACAATCCAAACTAATGTCATAAAATAAAAACTCTTGTTTAAACACTCGTTTAATGTCCCCACAGTAAAGCCGCGCTGCGTCCTCAGGTCTACGGGAAAGTTACATCACCAGAGCTCATTACTGAAGTCCCTCAGGTCAAAGGTCACTCTGGCCCGTCAACATGTGGGTCCCTGAGGCGTCCTTACATCAGACACTGTTTCCACTATTTCCCTCTGAAGCAAATTACCTTCAGAGCTGTTAACCAGTGAGACCAATCAGCCAGCAGACGCTCCGGTTCCACTGGTCCTCAGAGAGACCATAATGACCTCCCCTCAGACCCCCGCACATCGGACACACAGAAGCACAATGCTGTTTGTTTAATCTCACTTTAAAAACATATTTTCTGCTTGTAGCTAAACATGAATAATATGAATTTAACATAAAGATTCTCTTAAAGTGACGTTTTGGTGAAACTCTGTCATGGGGGGTAAGAAGTAGCGGGGGGTTTCTAAAAAGTTATCCCAGAAAGATATCCACTATAATGACACACAGTTGGATGGGACAGGGTTCAAAACAAAAGAATAAACTAGCTACTAACTACTAGAAAGTAGCTTCCTTTACTTTGCTGAAGGGAAACCAAAACACCGCTCCTGAGACGAGAAACTCAACTCCCAGGGAAACTCTCCCAAACTCACACAACAACACCTCTAGGCCAGGTTGGCAAAGAGGTGCCCCGAGAAAAACTGGAGGGCAAACCATGCATGCAGGTGTTAGTGGTGCTTCTGCAGAATCACACACTCGTACCCTTAAATTCCACCAGATGCATGAGTCTGTACTCCGCCATGCTGCGTCTCAGCACCGTCGCCGCTCAGCCTACCTACAGCGTACCAACAGAAGACCCTGTAGTTCTCCACAAGCTCAAAGGAAGAAGAAGAGAAGACTCTTCTCCACTTCTATGTCATCACCAGGCATGTTAAAGGCCAATCCCAATACGATGGGCGAGCTAGTGGCGCTTAACCTACTATACTGGGAACGTAGCATAATGCTGTTTACAGAGCTAACGCCAGTGTCCATATGAGCCTGAAGCTGGGGAGAGTACCACACCTCAGGAAGACATCCTGCATGGTACTAGTGCCAAAGAACTCACACCCCAACCACTCTAACCACCACAGGCCGATGAAGACCCTGCAGTGGTCCTTTGTCGTTTTTGACTCCTGGTAAGGTCATCAATGGACCCGTGGCAGTTATCAGCCTGGCATCAGGCGGCTGTGTTGAACTCTAGCTTTCTTCAGGGATATAGTGTTGAAAGGAGGCAAACCGCCTGTGCACTTAGCTACCACTGATAATTATTTAAGTCACTTTCTAATTGATATTCTTTCAGCGCTTCAACTAACCACCACTTGCACATACGATGTGGTTTGTTAGCTCCGTGCACTTCACCGCTGTTTGCTGCCACTCTAGTCAATCTGTTAGTACGAATTTTCATGAAATTCATTTATCTTGGTAACTTCGTGAAATATATTATTCAAGTCTGCCTACCACGTGTTAACACTCCTACCTTTAGGTGTCTGAAGCTGTAACCTTATATGAGCGAAGCACCTAAGTAGTAGCAGATCTATATATGGAGAAGAGCCAACTATATGTTGTCAACAACTGTTTGCTAGACAGAGAGTCTACATCTGATACGTATACAAGTCAGTGTCATGTCATCTTCATTGATTTATGGTGATGCACCCAAATGGAAAGGAATTTGTGGGTTGCACCTTTTTGACAGAATATAAGCAGCACTGTGAACACTGTTACTTTGTCAGCACTTTGTCAGTCAAGTGATTTGGAAGCATGCTTGTTTGATGAAGTTGTCTGACCTCGGCCGATTAAATGGTGTTATAATCTCCAGTCTGTTTCACGATTTCTTCATTAGATTTATACATTAGAAACAAACCCTACCTAACACAATCCTTCCGTTTCCACAGCGGGCGCCACAGTTCGTCTACGGAGCGTCCCAGAAGCACCACTAGACTCTGCTCCTTTTCAAATATGCTGAGAGTCTTTTTTTGACGGCGCTCACTACAAGCACACATCAAGCTGAACAGAGTAGAACAAAGTCAGACAAGGACACTCACAGAGCGTCCGGTCAATTTCAAAATAAAACACAACATACGGACTCCTGGTCGTATATTCCATCACACATCAACGTAACGTCAAAACAGAATAAACAACAAATCATCCTCAGAAAAACAAAGAAACATGTTGTTAGCATGTTCTCTTTATTCCTGCGTGATCTAGTAGTTCTCCTTCAATCTTGTAGTTCTCCTGTGATCTTGTAGTTCTCCTGTGATCTTGTAGTTCTCCTTCAATCTTGTAGTTCTCCTTCAATCTTGTAGTTCTCCTTCAATCTTGTAGTTCTCATTTGATCTTGTAGTTCTCCTGTGATCTTGTAGTTCTCCTTCAATCTTGTAGTTCTCCTTCAATCTTGTCTTTCTCATTTGATCTTGCAGTTCTCCTTCGATCTTGTAGTTCTCCTGTGATCTTGTAGTTCTCTCGTGATCTTGTAGTTCTCGTTAACGTTCCAGAATCAGATCCAGTGGGGCAGGGCCGGCACCGTCTGAAGGAGCAAAACATTGTGCTGATGGACTATGTGGAAATTGTACCTGCAAAATAAGATTTAAAAGCTGCAGATTTTTATTTCTCATTATTTTTTCTGTTACTATTTAATTTAAATGTTGTTTTTTTTACGGTCATGGTAACAGTTCTATTACTACTATTGATCTCTTTGGTTAGTAAACAGTCTGTCACACAGTGTTATTGTTAATGAACCAAACCTGAGCTCGAGGTCCGTCAGTCATTTGTGTCCCCTGGGGACCGGCGGTGACTGAGGTGGTGTGGCCTCGTCATGGAGATGTATAAAGCCTCAGGTTTGCTGCCGCCTCACATCAGTTGCTGCAGATGTCTGCAACAGATAGATAGATAGATAGATAGATAGATAGATAGATAGATAGATACTTTATTGATCCCGAGGGAAATTCAAACACAGCAGGTAACTAATGTTGTAGAGTGTGTAACCTGATGTGTGTGTGTGTGTCATTTAAAGATGTCAGTGCCGTGTGTGTGTCTGTTCTGTGGAGGCACAGAGTCAAAGGAAGCTCCGGGCTGTTTGTGAGACGTTCTTAATATATTTTCTTAATTCTTAAAATAATAATGCTTGAAGGCAAAAAGAAAGCAAATTCATTCGAGGTGAATAGATAGGAAGCAAGCTTTTTAATATATTTTGCAGATGGTTTGTTGCATCACAGTAAGAATGATGGTGAATTCAACTTTACATTACTTCATTTTTAGCACGTACATGTATGTAGGATCTTTGAAATACTTGTATTTCCTGTTAACTGCAATGTTGTACATGCTAATTGTTTTTGTCAACATATTTCTCATCGTGCTGATCTGTATGAACAGAAGTCTTCATGAACCCATGTACATCTTCCTGTGCAGCCTGTTTGTGAACGAGCTGTACGGCAGCACAGGTTTGTTTCCTCTCCTCCTGGTTCAGATTCTCTCAGACGTTCACACTGTGTCTGCTCCTCTCTGTTTCCTGCAGATCTTCTGCTTGTACACGTACGCTCAGGTGGAGTTCTGTAATCTAGCTGTCATGTCTTATGACAGGTATCTGGCTATCTGTTGCCCTCTGCAGTATAACACACTCATGACGTTTAACAGGGCAGTTACTTTAATAGCTGGGATGTGGATTTACTCCTATGTAAAATTCTTGATTACTTTATTTTTAACCATCACTTTGCCATTTTGTGGAAACATCATTAACAGTTTGTATTGTCACAACTATCTTGTCGTGAAGTTAGCTTGTTCTGACATTCAGGTGAATAACATTTATGGAATCTTTGGCTCAGTTCTGACTGTCTTAGTCCCCCTGCTGCCAATTCTTTTCTCTTACACTAAAATCTTGCAGGTGTGTTTCTCTGGTTCCCAACAGACCCGACGAAAAGCTATCAGCACCTGCACGCCTCACCTGGCCTCGCTCATCAACTTTTCTTTTGGTTGTATGTTTGAAATACTTCAGAGTAGATTTAATATGGCCAGCGTGCCGAGCATTGTACGCATCATTCTGTCTCTGTATTTCCTCCTCATTCAGCCGCTTCTGAACCCTGTCATGTACAGCATGCAGCTGTCAAGAATCCGAAACACATGTAAACATCTTCTGAGTTTTAAAATCAAGGCAGGATGTAAGTGTCAGAGCTAAAGGTAAAGACTATGTAATATCTTGAATAAAATGATAAAATCACTGCAGAAGAAGAGATTCATCAGCTCAAGTGAAGTGCAATAAAAGTGACTTTTAAAACGGAGAAATGGGACTGGAGGGCAGATTGAATATGTTCAACATATTTATTGTTTCCAAACCTCCTGAAACTTCAATGATTTATTTTTTAATGTGGTGTTGTAAATATGATATCCAATCATGTCACCTTACATCTATCAGGTTTTCATTGGATCAGTAAAGTCTTTACCAACTCTCTGTGTGCCTCGAGAAGTTCTGTCTGAGGATTTAAAAACTAACATGTAATTCAGGGCGCACTCACACGAGGCCCAGTTGTCAAAACAAAGTTACAACATGCTCAGGGGTAAATAAAGAGCAAGTGAATAAAGGCCACAATGTAAAGGATGACAAAAACAATGAATCACTTTTTATGACTTAATCACAAATTCATAACAAATATTATCTGAGGACACTTTACAAAGAGCAGGTCAAAGACCTCAGTCTGTGGTCGGAAAATGTCCAGAACTATTGGAGAAAAACCACAACACTGGTCCAGGAGGTGTGGATGAGATTTGCCTCAGGCTCTACAAATCGTTGAGCTGTCTTGGATGAAACACCTCTTTAGTGTCTTGTGGAGGTCTTGGACAGCGCTCGTGGAGTGGGAGACCTGGGACGTGGTTCTAGTTTTTCAAAAGGGGGGCCTGAGGGTGTGCCTAAATTATCTAGGTATCAGACACGTAGGGCCCTTGCATATAATAAGACGAAGAGAAGGCCACCAATCCAGCCAACTGATTAAAATATAAAAGGACATCATTTGGATAGGGGCTTTATAACAGCTACCAAAAGTAGTGGTACACCCAGGCGTCAGTTCAACGTTGGTATCAGCCATTATCGACCCTGTTCACATAAACATTGAAAGTGAAAGATTCAGCCACGTGCAGCTTACCCTGAACATTTCAGGTTTTCATGAGTTTTGCTAAGTGGTGCAAACGCTCCTATTTAGAAACCAATGTATCTAAAACCATGATGATCATTGATTTTAGGAGGAAGCCTTTAACTGTTACCCCCATATCAATGAATGGGCAGGCTGTTGAGGTGGTGAATCAGCTCAAATACTATAATTAAAGACAATCTCGCATGTGAAGCCAACACTGATGCTGTATGTGCAAAGACACATTAGCGTATGTATTTTGATCAATACTGTGGAATTTTAACGTCAATCGTTTATGAAAATGTTGAATTCTTGTTTATTGAGTCTGTTTTAACCTTCTCTTTTATCTGCTGATTTCAATCAATCAATTTTTATTTGTATAGCGTCAACTCATAACAAGTGTTATCTCAAGACACTTTACAAAAAGTAGGTAAAATATCTTACTCTTTGTCTGTTACCATGACAAAAGAGCAAAAGGCCTAGACTGCGCCGGGCTTGGAAGGGGATAGGGGAGAGATGGAATAAAATGCAGGAAGAGGGATAGGGAGCAAGGGGGTGGGGTGGGGTGGGGGTGTTGTTCAGGGAGGCCGTCAATCAACAATCTGGTGGGGAAGGGAGTTGTTCTGGCAGGCCGTCAATCAACGATCTCGAGGAGCCTAAGAGAGCTCAAGAGCTCCCAGGAAAGTAGGTGATTAGTGACTGATATTTACAGATAGATACATGCAGTGATATGATGTACTGTATATGCACAGAGAGAGAGAGAGAGAGAGAGAGAGAGAGAGAGAGAGAGAGGAGCTCAAGGTGCCAGTTCCCCCGGTAGTCTAAGCCTATAGCAGCCTAACTAGGGGCTGGTCTACACCAGCACCAGCCCTAACTATAAGATTTATCAAAAAGGAAAGTTTTAAGTCTATTCTTCAAAATACACACTGTGTCTGCCTCCCGGACCCCGGCTGGAAGATGATTCCAGAGGAGAGGAGCCCGATAACTGAAGGCTTTACCTCCCATAGTACACTTAGAGACTGTAGGTACCACCAGCAGGTCTGATAACTGAAGGCTTTACCTCCCATAGTACACTTAGAGACTGTAGGTACCACTAGTAGGCCTGCATTCTGGGACCGTAATGTTCTCGAGGGACAGTACGGCACCAGTAGCTCCTTAAGATAAGATGGTGCCTGGCCATTTAGCGCTTTGTAAGTGAGAAGAAGGATCTTGAATTCTATTCTAGACTGTATAGGGAGCCAGTGCAGAGAAGCCAACACAGGAGTAATGTGGTCCCTTTTCCTAGTTCTAGTCAGTACACGAGCTGCAGCGTTCTGGACTAGTTGAAGAGTCTTTAGAGACTTACCAAAGCACCTTGACAAAAGAGAATTATAATAATCCAACCTGGAGGTAACAAATGCATGAACTAGTTTTTCTGCATCATTTTCCGACAGGATATTCCTGATCTTGGATATATTACGAAGGTGAAAATAGGCTGTTCTTGAAATTTGCCTGATGTGAGAGCTAAAAGACATATCTTGATCAAATAGAACTCCTAGATTCCTAACAGTGGTGCTAGATGGCAGGCTGATGTCATTAAGGACAGTCATATCATTAAAAAAAGTCTCTCTGAGGTTCTTAGGGCCTAGCACAATAACTTCAGTCTTGTCTGCGTTAAGTAGCAAAAAATTTCTGGTCATCCAGGTCCTAACGTCCTTAAGGCACGTTTCTAGCTGACATAACTGACTGGTGCCATCGTGCTTCATTGATACATAAAGCTGAATATCATCTGCATAACAATGAAACTGTATGGAGTCTTTCCTCATTATATTTCCCAGATGAAGCATATATAATGTAAAGAGAATTGGTCCAAGCACTGAACCTTGTGGGACTCCATGGCAAACTTTAGTGTGCATAGAGGACTCATCATTAACATGTACAAACTGAGATCGGTCTGATAAGTAGGATTCAAACCAACTTAAAGCAGTCCCTGTAATTCCAAGTAAATGTTTTAGTCTGTACAATAGGATCTGATGGTCAATGGTGTCAAAAGCAGCACTAAGATCTAACAAGACGAGCACAGAGAGAAGTCCCCTGTCTGAAGCTAGAAGTAGATCGTTTGTAACTTTAACTAGTGCAGTCTCAGTGCTATGGTGGACTCTAAATCCTGACTGAAACTCCTCAAATAAACTGTTGTCATGGAGAAAGTCACACAGCTGATTAGCTACCACTTTCTCCAGGATCTTCGAGATAAAAGGAAGGTTGGATATAGGCCTATAATTAGCTAGAGTTCCTGAATCTAGAGTAGGCTTTTTGAGGAGAGGTTTGATTACCGCATCTTTAAATGCCTGTGGTACATAGCCTGCCAGTAAAGACATATTGATCATATCTAATATAGAGTTGCTAACTAAGGGAAAGACTTCCTTAAACAGCTTGGGTGGGATTGGGTCTAAAAGACAGGTTGACGGTTTCGATGCAGAAATAATTGAATTTAGCTCTGAAAGGTCGATTGGAGAAAAACAGTCTAGACTAATAGTCCTGGAACTGTCTCTGCCCTATCAGACGTATCCACACCAGGTAAGGGCAGGAGGTTACTAAATTTGTCTCTGATGTCTAGAATTTTGTTGTTGAAAAAGCTCATGAAATCATTACTGCTGAGGGCTAAAGGAACTCTCTGTCAGCCTGGCTACAGTGCTTAAAAGGTATCTAGGATTGCTTTTGTTTTCCTCGATTAGAGAGGAGTAGTAGGCAGCTCGAGTGTGACGTAGAGCCTTCATATATTTTCTATGACTATCCTGCCAGAATAAACAAGATTCTGCCGTTTTGGTCGAGCGCCATATTCTTTCAAAATTTCGCGACGTTTGTTTTAGAGTACGGGTTTCTGAGTTGAACCATGGAGCTATTCTCTGCCATTTGATAACCTTCTGTTTCAGGGGAGCAATCGAATCCAGAGTAACTCTCAGTGAATCCACTGCACTATCAACAAACTGATCTAGCTGAGAGGGACTAAAGCTATCAGAAGAGTTTCCAACTGGGTTGAAACACGGTACTGAATCAAAAGCAGCTGAAATAGCTTCCTTAAATCTAGCTACAGCACTATCAGACAAACTTCTAGAGAGCACATTTTTATTAAGCAGAGATAATTCTGGTAGGACAAAGTTGAAAGTAATAAGGAAATGGTCTGATAGAAGAGGATTTTCTAGGAAAATTAGTAGGTTCGTTTACACCCTGGGTGAAACCAATAGAGTCTAATAGTGACATGAAAGCTGTGCTAAGGCTATCATTATCAACATCCACATGGATATTGAAGTCACCTACAACAATTATTCTATCACTGCTAAGGACTAAATCTGATAAAAATTCTGCAAATTCAGATAGAAATTCAGAATATGGGCCAGGAGGGCGGTAAACTACAACAACTAGAACTGGCTGAAATGTAACCCAGGTTAATTAAATTGAATTAAATATTAGCCCTCTATTTTTTTTCTTTTGAGAGGGGAATGACCTTAGTGAACCTCCATAACTTAAGAATAATTGGTTTTCATTTTATTTTGTATTTATTTATTTCCCTATTTTATTTTTCTAAAACATTCCATAATCTCACTTAAACTCCGCTAAAATCTTCAACCTATCAGAACTCCTCCCACCTGTCATAAACATCCGGTTCACAAGGTCACTTCCCCTCACCTCATCGCATGCTGCAGAAGCAGAACTGTTTGGTTGCCCAAGACGGGACGAGTTTTTGATTTACACAGCGGTGAGTTGTATGTTGTATATTGTATATTTTTTAATGTTAGATGAGTGATAAATGTGGTTGGTTGTTTTCTTCCGCGGGAATTGTGGGAGAAATTTCTATGCAGAATCCCCTTGGGGAAAACCCCTACTTTAAGCCACGGCCGTGTACGGGGCCTTGTCATTGGAAACCTTGGCATGTATTTCTTTTCATTTGATTACACTGCAGGATTTCATAAAGTAATCCTAGCCTAAAGCTAAAGGTATATTTATGTTGTGTGATGTTTAAGTAATGGGGTTTTCAATGAGATCTGATAATGAATATTTCAATGAATGCACAATG